CTGAAAGTACACAGTAGTAACCAGTGGAACACATTTTGAATTGACATCTTTGTGACTCAGGCTGCATTGTAACTCTGAGATGTGTTGGGTGCTTTGGCATCCATGGGGCCTATCCTCCATGAAAATAAATACCGACATTTTCAAATTACATTGCTATAAAGACAGCATACATACTGGATTAAAACTTGAAACCATTTCAACCCTTAAAGCTCACCTCTCTTCTTCCGAAATAACCCATTTGTTTTTAGCTGTGGTGGATTCTGGCACAGAGGTGGGGCCTGAAGTCGACCTAAGGTCCACTTTCTGGCGCGATCACCCTGGGTGCCCCATGCAACAGCTCAGCTTCTTTGTGCCTTTTTCTCATCACATTTTAGGATCTCACTCATCAAGGACAGCTCTAGTCCCTGCCCCCACTATAGTCTTTTCTAACTCAATTAAAGCCTGTGGCTGATAGGGAGGGCTGTGGCCAGGCCAGGTTTCCTACTATCCAGCTTCCCTCTGCTCTGCCTGCTGCCTCCTGGGCTGTACCGAGTATGCAGTGTCTGGTACCAATAATGAGGTTAGGCATGGTTGCCTTTTAATAAAACACAGTGGGCCTGGAGAGGGAGCGTGATGTTCAGCACAGGCTAAGCCCTGCGGGGAGCTATGTCCCTGTGTGATTACATTAAGTGGGAGCCAGTCTGCAGGTGGTGTGGAGAGACTCGGGTGTATCTATGACTGTCACAGCCCAGAGACCTGTCACCCCACCCTGAACTCTCAGAAAGGAAGAAAAGTAGCCATGTAAGGGGCCACATGAGCCCCCCCCCATTCCTCGCAAGACTCTAGTGTGAACCAAGTGTGATGTGATGTTGTAGTCAGGAGGCTGAGGCAGGGGGATGTCGAGTTAGAAGCCAGCTTCAACCTAGGTTACACTGTGAGACCCTGTCTTGAAGGAAAGAAAAAGAAAGAGAGAGAGAGAGAGAGAGAGAGAGAGAGAGAGAGAGAGAGAGAGAGAGGCGAGGGATCCGAGGGACCATAGGGTCAAGAGTGGCCATTTCCAGGCTGTGAAGCCATGGCTCACTGTTCTGCTCTGGGAACACAGCCTATAGTGATCAGCATCCACCTTAGAAGGGAGGGGTAGGGTGTCCTCACTGTTGGGTGACCAGGGGCCATGATGCAGACTTACATGCTTACAGGGGAACAGCTCCTGTAGATACAGACATGCCACAGGCACAGCTTTGGGGACATCTGCCCTGGCACAGAGAGCTCTTAGCTGTGCTGAACTGAGCTGCATTGGGGGGCAGTTTACTAAAGGATTCCATGGGGCTCAGGACAAGGGTCTCTCTATGTAGCCCAGGCTGGGCTGGAACTTGGAATCCCCCTGCCATAGCCCCTGAGCACTGGGATTGCAGCTGCCTGATGCTGCTTTGTCTCTTCTGGAACTCCAGGTTTTGCACACTCAGGGCTGACTGAATAGGAGTCCCCTGCAGGCGAGCCATGCCTGCCCATAGGGAGTGGCCCCATTTATTGAGTAACAGCCCCCTCTTCCACCTTACAGCCTCACCTTTGCATCAAAAGCGGCCATATTTCCGGAGGTCAGTGTGCCTCACTTCCTCCTCAGGCTGGCCTTCTTGCTCCCAGCCTGCTCGGCTGGGTGTCCTACCTGATAATAAATTGAAATTGAGACACCACTGCTCACTGGCTCCCCTGAAATCCCCTTTCTCCTGTGGGTGCCTACTTTCTCCTGCAGTGCAGCAGGCAGGGCCTGTCCTTGGCCCTATGGCAGTAATGAGGGTGAGCAGGGACCAGGGAGACCCCCTTCTTCAGCAGGGGTCACCAGAGCCTTGAGTGGAAAGTGTGACAGTGTCACCCTAGTTACTGGACATTAGGAAGTTCAGAGGCCCTGTACTGATGGGAGACCTGGACCACTAGGGAGAAGACCCAGGGCAGTGTGCCCTTTGTCAAAGGATGGTGTCTTTTCCCTAGTCTGGCGGGGTTGCCTTGAGTTTTTATCTCCCCACCCCCACCCCATCTTTGACAGTGTGGGCCTTGAGGAGGCCCAGCAAGCGCTGTCACCGAGCTACATCCGCAGCCCTCTTTGGCCCTTCTTGTAACAGGCACTACTATCAATACTTGCTGCTGGCAGGCCCAAGTCTTTCTGTGGAGTTCCAACATCTAACAGTACCAGCCGTAAGCAGGGGCAGCTATTTGCTGATGGTAACTTTGAGCACAACCTCTATTGTCTTTGAGCCCTACTTTCCCCATCCGTTATATTGGGTAACACTCTTGTTATGCTCACAGTGCGGTTGGGGGTTAAACAGAGAGGTAAAAGCACCTGATGCAGAGAGTGGGGCTCACTGGCTGTCGGCCCCGCCTTCCTCGCGCATACAAGGTCTGCCTCACCCTGGGGTGCTGTGCACAGGCGGTGCATGGGTGCTCACTCCACAGGGGATTCAGAACAGGATTTCCGGTGTGGGATGGTAAAGCCACCCTCTCTCTCATCATCACCTTGTGGAAAGGCCTTCACAAAGAGGTCTCTTTTCACTAGACTGACTGGGACAGGAAAAGCAGGCTGTGGCGGGTCGAGTGCCTGACCCCACAGCCCAGAGCTGCCCCGTGTATTATATGAAGCGAGACGGAGCTGTGGCAGGTCACCTGCCCCCACCCCTCTTCCTCACTGGGAGCTAATCAAATTGTGTTGTGCCTCGGGCTCAGAGAGATGAATCTAATAAGGGAGGAGGGACCTGGAAGGAGGCAGGACAAAGGACTGCAGGGGACAGCATTCTCTGTTGGGTACCTGCGGAGTCCTGGAGAAGGGTGAAGTGACCTTGTCTTCACGGAGTAGGACAGGACACTTTGGTAGAGAGCATCGCGGGATTGATCTAGAGCAGAACCCAAGAGGGTAAGGAAGTGTGGGGAGCCTTCAGGACTGAGGAGGGGCTGGAGCTACACTTGGGGACAAGTAGAGAGCAAGCTGCCATTGCCCCTGTAGGCAGGGCAGCACGGGCCAGGAGGAGGGGAGCAAGAGCCAGCAGTGTTGCTAGTCCAGGGGAGCTGAAGCCTCCTCCTGTGGACCTGGTGGGGACATAGTGGGGCTGCAGAGGGACAAGTTAGGATCACGTGGCAGCTGGCATTTCTCTGGCTGGCAAGAGTGACAGGACTTAGGAAGTGAGCCATGTCCTGTTGTGTCAGACAGGTTCAGAAGGGAGAGGCTTATGCCCTGATCTGGTAGGACAGCAAAGATGGCTGAAGAGAAAGTGGTGACAGAGACCTTCGATAGACCTCCTGGGCTGGAGGAGGGCAGCCCACGGCTATCCGGGAGCTAGAGGGGGGCCTAGCTGTGATGGGAGAGGACTCTGATCTTGGATGAGGCTGACGAGTCAGTGGGGTGGGAATTTGGGGGAAGACAGACTGGTCTGAGACTTTGGAGTCATGTGTGGGGTCAGATAGGAATAACAGCAAGAGTTCCAGGAATAGGGGTTTTCTCCTGGCTACAGCGTCAGAAAGAATTCTCACACAGCAGGGATGACTTGAAAGAACGTGTCCAGAATTTGAGAAAGGGGCCAGTCTGCTTCACACAAGTCTCCAAGTGTACCTAGCCCATGAAAGCTGAGAGCCAGCCCCCTGGGTGGTCAGTGTAGGACGGCAGAGCCAGCCAGCAGGAGTTAGGGGCTCAGGTGGAGACAGAGACAACTACAGTGAGGTGGTATGGAGTTGTTGAATCAATGAGGCAGAAGTATGTTCATCTACATGAACAAGGGTGTGTGTGTGTGTGTGTGTGTGTGTGCGCGTGTGTGTGCGCGCGCGCTATGCCATTACATTAAGATGGGTTAGAAGATGTCCTGGGCCTGTTTCTATGAAAAATGTATGTGAAAAATGCACGCGGGGATGGGGTGACTTGCTTTTGTCTGTTCACAGAGTGTATTATTAACTGCCTTGTTCTTCTTTTCAAAAGGAGGAGTTGCTGTTGGAGAACTGGGAGCCGGAGCTGACCAACTGGAGCCCCAGGCCCCAGCCTAGCCAGAGTGGGAGAGTGGGGAAGCGGCTGCCACACACCTTCTGGTACCTACTGCTGCTGGGAGAGGTGGCTGGCTGGGAGGCAAGCCCCGTTTGTCTAGGGAGGGGACAATAAGCTGGAGCTCTGATGTCCCAGTGCTGGTGGCATCGGTGGTAGTCGGGTCCAGCCAGAGTAAGAACTTCGTGATCAGTCCCAGCCACTGAGGCAAAGGCAACAGAGGCCAGAGCCAGCCTGCTCCCCTCCACCCCTGTTACCTTGTGGGGACAGGAGAACATGCAGGGAAAGGGTTGAGAGTTGGCCTGCGGTGGTCCTGCCTGGGAGGTTGCACGCACCAGAGCCTCTCAAGGGTCTCCTGGTGCCGGCGGTGCCTCCTTAAATAGCAGCATACCTGCTCTCATCTGTCTCCCTGCTCTGATCAGCAGGTAGATGGGAACACGAGTTCTGCATGTGAGGATACATTGCTAAGGCCCCTAGTTCTGGAAACCTCACCCGAGGGAGGACAGCACCCCCTACCACCCTTGATGTGGGAAGGAGCTGGAGGGACAGACTGGGGGCTCCCTGGCTGGCCTGTGGTCTGGCACAGCAGGGGCAGAACACAGCTACATAGAACAGGGGATATCCATGCTGGCTCTTAGGATCAGGGGTTGAGGCTTACAGATGGGTGAAGGAGCAAGGCTTCCACTTCCCACTGGGGAAGGTCTTTCGCATCCATCTGGAGAAGGCAGTGGCAAGCCCTGCACCCTCAGGGGATATACACATTCTGATGTAGCCATCAGCCTCACCCCAGAAAACCCAGGGCCTCAGGAAACAGGGATTATAACCCAGGGATTGGGTCCATGCATCACCAGAGCTTTTTAAACTTGTGCCCTGTCTTGCACACAGAACCCAGGTCAGGTTTGTGGAAAGGCCTGGTTTTCTGCTGAGGTGTTCCTGGGATTTGGGGACTCTGCCCCAGGATGGTGGGAGGGGTCTAAGGTGGGAGAACGAGTGTGCCCAGCTTAGACACTGGGGCGGAGGAGGTGGCAGCTGCCACGAGGCAGGCTGGACCTTTTGAGGGTTGTGGGTGGTTCCCTAGAGCTTTGTCTCTCCTGCAGCTGAGCTCTCAGCATGGAGCACAGTGCTGCCTCCAGCCCTGCTACACTGCCGTACTACGTGGCCTTGTCCCAGCTGCTGGGCCTCACAGTGGTGGCTGTGACTGGTGCGTGGCTGGGTCTGTACCGAGGTGGCATCGCCTGGGAAAGCTCCCTGCAGTTTAATGTGCACCCGCTCTGCATGGTCATAGGCATGATCTTCCTGCAAGGGGATGGTGAGTCCCGTGGACGGTCCCGTGGGCGGTCCCGTGGGGAGTCCTTTGGGTGGTCCAGGGAGCCTGTGGTTGGAGGGTGATAGCTGGCCTCAGCAGGTGGCATCAGGGGCACACGTGCATGTGTGCATTGTTGAAGGGGACATGGCTGAGCTAGAATGCCTGGCCCTGGGATAAGAGCCAGCAGGTGCTTGTCCTGAACGCAGCCTACAAGGAGCTGGATGGCGGGGTCGGTGGGGGGTGGGACAGGACAGGACAGCCACCTCCCAGCAGCAGGTCCTAGTGGTCCTGCCCTCCCCCTCATAGCAGTGAGGATTGGACAGGATCTCATTAAGCCTTGAAGCTGGGAGTCTGCCTGCTAAGAGCACTGATTGTCTATCTAGGAAGGCTCCAGAACTGCACTCTCTGCTAATAGGTACACTGAGTCTGGCCAGCACTGCAGTTTGACTGTGGGACAAACCCTGAACACCCGAGTCAATGCATTATAGGACACCTGGCAAGGCCAAGTGTCTCCCTGCCTAGCAGTTGCTCTGAGTGGGTACTCAGGGCAGGGTGCTGTCTTTGTTGCCTCTGATGGTGGCAGGAAAATGTGGCACAGCCTCCTCTCCGGGTCCTTGAGTGTGCATGGGGTAGAAAGACTCAGGGACACCCTTGACCAAAAGCAGGATGGGTGCAAGGTCCCTATGCAGTTCTGTTTTCTCCACCAGTTCTATGACTAGCGAACCTTGACAAGCTCTTAGCACAGACCTTTGTCCAGCCAGCCAGGCATCCTTGTGTGTCCAGCACAGGCCTACCCACTTAAAGCTTTATCTTTCATCCCACAAGCTCTGCTGGTGTACCGTGTCTTCAGAAAAGAGGCCAAACGCACGACCAAGGTCCTGCACGGGCTGCTTCATGTTGTTGCCTTCATCATCGCCTTGGTGGGTGAGTTCCTGGGCACAGCCTTTGTCTCCATCTGCTGCTTCAGGATATACAGTCCCTACTTCAGGCTTCTTGGCCCTCCCCCACGCTCCTCCTTACAAGCATCCCAGGCAGGGACACTGGATGCTGGCCATCATCAGGCTGGACCAAAGCCCAGAAGTTCTGGCTAGCAGTTTCCCCCGGGGTCTCCTCTCCTCTCCCTTGTCCATGTCCAGCCCTGTCCTCATATGGCCCCTGCCTCTGCTGCAGGCTTGGTGGCTGTGTTCGACTATCACAAGAAGAAGGGCTATGCTGACCTGTACAGCTTGCACAGCTGGTGTGGAATCTTAGTCTTTGTTCTTTACTTTGTGCAGGTGAGTCTTAGCTCCAGCAAGGGATGGGGAAGGAGGAAGAGGCGGGTAGTGGGGCTCAGGTATGCCATAAAAGGGGCCCATTTTCCAGGGTGCACGTTCAGAGGAGAGAGCGTAGGTTAATTTAGTTGGATGCTGTTTTCAGAGACTGAACTGGGTATCAGCCTAGGATTCTAGAGGCCAGGGTGCCCCAGACCCCTTTGCCTTTTCCACTGACTCTGTCCAAGTGTTGAGTCACGTGCCTTGGCTTCCTGAGTCCACAGGGTGGTGAAACTGTGGTTGGAGGTCCAAAGCCTCGACGCAATGCTTCAAGCACTGGGGACCAGGCCACTTTCCCTATAAATACCCCATGCTCCACTGCTGGAATTTGAGGGGATGCAGGAGTGCTTTGGTGGCCTCCTGTTAGTTAGGTCACAGCCAGCTCATGGCTCAGGAGAGTCCTCTCTCCTTTTAGTGGCTCGTGGGTTTCAGCTTCTTCTTGTTCCCTGGAGCTTCGTTCTCTCTGCGGAGCCGTTACCGCCCCCAGCACATCTTTTCTGGTGCCACCATCTTCCTCCTTTCTGTGGGCACAGCCCTCCTGGGCCTGAAGGAGGCACTACTGTTCAAGCTTGGGTGAGTGGCCCGAAGAGGCAGTCCCCAAGTGCCCTTTGCCTCACTGGAAGCCTCTCTCTGAGCTGGCTTTTCTCATGGGGAAGGTGGAAGGGCTGGAGTCTTTAAGGCCTGGGCTGCATCTGTCCTAACTGGGACCCTTGGTGGCTTCTCCCTTCACCCTACCCTACAGGACCAAGTACAGCACGTTTGAACCTGAGGGGGTCCTGGCCAACGTCCTGGGCCTGCTGCTGATCTGTTTTGGGGTGGTTGTACTCTACATCTTGGCTCAAGCTGACTGGAAGCGGCCTTCCCAGGCTGAAGAGCAAGCCCTCTCCATGGATTTCAAGACACTGACAGAGGGAGACAGTCCCAGTCCCCAGTGACAGCCTTGGGTGGTCCTCCTGGTTCTGTGGGTTCCTGGATGTCTTTCTGCTCCTCCCTGCAGAGCCTGAGTCTTTAGGTCCAGGAGTGCGGGGCAGCGGTGTTACTTTAGTGGGGTTCTAGGTTTTGGGGTTGTCCTCTGCTTTCCCTTCCTCGCTCGCAGTTTTTGATGCATTCTGTGGCCCATGTGTAGGCCCTGCCTGTACCCTGCTATCCATTCACATGCAGAAAACTTGGTCAGGGGACCTGGGGTCAAGCCTGGTCCCGTCCCTTAGAGGAGCTAGACTATAGTTCCACCCACCAGGCAGCAGATGGCTGGGTCTGGGCCCGAGGGACTGGCGTGGAAAAGCCAAGATTGCTGCTTGTGTATTCAACCCAGGAGTCCCAGCAGCTCGGGAAGCACGTGTCCTTGGCAGTAGAGCAAGTGATATTATGCGTAAAGTATGCTGGTGTTCAGAATAAGGTTCCCCAGAAGGGTTCAGTCCGGCCCCTGAAGGAGCCCTGCCATGTGGCTTGGCCCCAGTATTGGACCTTTCTGTTCTTTAATCCCTGAGCCTTAAATAAGCTTTTCTGGGAAGGGGCTAGGTGCTCAGGGTGCATGTATGTACCTGCCCTGATGGATGAGGGCAGGCTGCTGGCACTGAGGGGCCTCCTGGCCTCCAGCCACCCCGGCAGTTCCTCCTACTACGGGGGGTTGAACCCTGGTTTCCTTCTGTAGGCCAGCCCAGGCAGGCTCTGGGAGGGGAGGCCACACACCTCCTGAGTTTTTAGAGGAGTCCTGCTGTTTGTCTTGCTCTCCAGGGAGCTGCTGGGGTGCCCTGGCTTGGCTGAAGCAACCATGGAGGCTCACTGTCCTCCCACACCTGGGTCCATCTTTGCTGGACAACAGGACTGAGTGGAGTAGAGTAGCAGGATTGGTCTCCTGCGGCATCTGCACACAGCCTCAACCCCTACTGCCTGTTGTGTTGTTAGCTGAGTCACTGTTTGGCTTGAGTCTAGAAATAATGTGATTACGGCAATGTCTTGTGCTTCTTGGGCTTGGCAAATGCTCTCTCCTCTTGGGCTCTAAGGAGCCTCGTGCTTTGTGACAGGAATGCTTAACTTAACCAGCCTGACAATTCCTTTAGGTCAACAGGCTGGCCTTCTGCCAGATTTCTAGTAACTGTGCCATGGGTCCTGCTTCGGGTGATGTCTCTTTCCCCAGCTGTGGTGGCGCGCCCCCCAGGAGGGGGGCTGCCCATCGCCCTGGCCCCCTCTTCCATCTCTCCATTTGCAGGGATGTTGAGGTTTGCCTCCAGTTTCAATGGCATATGCTGCAAGGCTAGGAACCTACCAACCCTTTCATCAGCGGCACTCTTGTGTAGTCAGATGTTTACATGTGGGAGACTGGTCCTTAGACAAACCAAGTTCCATTGTGAGTCTCCCTTGCCAGACTACACAGAGAATTAGAACTCAGCCTGTAAACTAGTCTTTTTGCCAAAGTGTATGATACATGACTAAGGACCGAAGAAGGCCCCGAGCAGATGTGTGTGGTTTCTTCTGTTTGCCTGTGGCCTGCCTCCTGTGACGCAGTGTGTTGTTGGTGCAACAGATAAATCAATAAATGTCTACAGCAGACCGCTTGCCTTCTGTTCTCATTTGCTGAGGTAAGAAAAGGATCCAAAGCTTCAAGCTGTCAGATTCACGAAGTCAGTTCTATTAGAGATGAGAGACATTGTCCCCAGGCTGTGTACAACAGAAAAAGTGACTGGCACAATCTCAGCGCAGACTGGACGTCTCTGTGGTGGTCGGGTTTGGCTCCAGGTGAGGGGACTGTGAAGGGCTCTAGCAGGCGCGAGCATGACAAACATGGTACCCACAGTGTTTGTCTTACCCTTCTCCCCCTTCTCCCCTGCTAAACTGTAGATTGCATTCCTCAAGCTAGCACCAAGGTCTACTCCCTTATGTGGCCACTCCCTCCTCCGAGGCTGACCACCAAGGTCCAGCTACCAAAAAATTGAAGTCCAGCAATTGAAAGCCCTGTTTTGGTTACCCCATTAACATGCCCAATCAAAACAAACCAACTCACCCTAACATGGGGTTTCCCCTGTAACCTTTCTTTACAAACTCATTTGCCTATGGGCCATGTCTCTCTCCCCTCTATCCAGAGGCAGTCTGTAGTGCTGTTTTGTGTGTGATCTAACAAATAAAGCTTGTCTGAAGATCAGAGTGCAAAGCTAAGCCACTAGGTAGCCACAGAGGCCAGGCAGTGGTGGCACACACCTTTAATCCCAGCACATGCTTGTAGCACTAATTCAGAGGATTAAAACAAACAAACAAACATGAAGTTGGGAAAGATAGGTGGAGAAGTCTGGGAGGAATCTAGAGGGACTGAGGGGTGGAGATGATAAAAATACACATTTATGAAATCCTCAGTCAGTAAAAATTATTTTTAAAGAGCCACTGGGAAAGGCAGGGTGAAGCAAGTTTGGAGGCTGTGGCAGGAACTTTTTATCTGTCCCTCTGTGTGTGATGGAGCAGCCTGTGACGTGTCTGCAGACATGTACTTTAAATACTTATAAACAAGTAAGGAAGTCTTGCTTCAGAAGGACCACAGATGCTTTGATGGAAGACCTTTTGGGTCTGGCTGCTGTGTATCACAGGAGAGTCGAGTCCCTAGCTCAGTCTCTGGTATAATCCAGGCCAGATGAGAGAAGAGACTCTGAGCCCTTTCTTTTGGTCCTGTTACCCTGGGCTTTCCGGGCCATCCTGGGAACACAATGCCTCAGTCATCAGGGCTCCATGTTCCCATGGCTTGACTTTAAGCTGTCCTGCTGCACTCCCCTTCCACTGGATTCTGCCTGACTTCCCAGTCCAGTGGAGAAGGATAGCTCCGGCACAGTTCAGCACAGGAAAGCACCTGCCCATAGTTACCAAAGGCAACTAGTAAGCGACAAAGAACTGAGGAACTTCTGAGAACTCAGGAAGGCATCTGATGCTCACTGCTTCTTCACTTTTTAATCTACTTTCCCCCTAAACTCTATATTGTTTTATTCATTCAATGCTACAGGAATCCTTTAAAAGCTGGGGTTTTGCCAATTCTTTTCTTTTTTTTAAAAAATTCTAGTTGTTAATGGAGCAAACAGTTTTCAGACCTAGCATGTGGCTCCTTCTGGAACCTTCTCTAGTCTGAAGATGACTGGGGCACGACTATGCCAGGCTTGGGAGGCTGAGGAAAAAGGACGGTTAGTCCAGGAGTTCATGGCCAATCCCAGAAAACACAGTGAAGCCATGGCTTAATCCGTCAAACTCAATCCAAACCAGCAAACTAAAGGGGGTGCAGTGCTCCTGTAGTGATGCAACTGAAGAGTAAGGCCCCTTTCACTCCGCACATGGCCAGCCTTCACTGATGCTCTAGAGCTGTCTCGGCCAGCAACTCCCTCAAGTGCTATCAGTGTCCACCTCAGAGATGCTCAACAACTCGGTGAACAGATGCAGAGGGCATGACTCTGAGCCACTCACAGCAGAGCAAGCAGTCATCAGGAATCTGGCCTTAGCCTGAACGTCGTCTGAGTTGTCTCTGGGCTGGCACCCTCAGCACTGCCATTTCAGGGAAGGGTGAGCTGGGAAGTTGGTTAGATCCCTGGACAGAGCACGAAAGAGAAAAGCACCAGACACCAGGTTTCTCCAAGTGTGACCATTTATAAATAAGTACATTTGCTTTCATACATACAGTTCATTGTACAGAGGACGCTCTGTATACATGGGGCAGGAAAATGCATTCATTTGAACTTTTCACATCTATCTCACACAGCTCACATGTACAGACAATAAAACTGTTCAAGCAAGTACAGCGAAGGAAATGTCTTCCTTATACACGGGGCTAGAGGCCTCCGCTGGGTGTGGGGTGTCCCCACTGCACGAGTTCACGACTGTGTGGTGTTTGATATATTAGGATAGAGAACAAACATGCATTGGATAATATACTGTACAGAGAAAGTCCTTTACATCTGAGTTATAGAAAACCTAAAGGAAAACTAAGTGCATTAAAGCTTTTCCAGCAAGTGTCTTGAAAGGACAGCAAAGAGGAATAATCAAAATCATATTAGTACAAATCACTCTTTAATTGTAGACTGTACATGTCTGTACTAATTAAAATCATCTTGGATTTGGAGGAGACAGAACAGAGACACAGACACTGTGCTAGATGGAAGGGAGGCCATGCCTGAGAATGGCACCTGCCCTGAGCCCCACAGGAACTGGCCCAACTCAGCAGGAATCAGCCAAATGTTAAAAAACAAAACAAAAGAAATCAGGACAGGAAATATAACTTACAGGATTTCCAAAATAACCTGTGAATGACGTGGGTATCTAGAGCCAGCATCGCTAGTTCTCCCCCCCCTCCCCCCAGCGAATGGGTACACAGTAAGGCAGGTACATTCAAGTACTGAATTTTCCAGAATTAACTCTCTGTCTGGTCCTGGGGATTGAAGGGAGTGATTTGAGTCCTAGCCAGACTTTCTGGTTAGTGAGTAGCAAAGGGAAAATCCAGCCACCAAGTGCTACAGAAACAAAGCAGCTAGGCCACGTTCTTCCCATGGAGTAGGTCTATCTGATACTAGGAGATGGTGCTGGCTGGCATCTCCGTGCATCCAGCTGCAGCCTGACTGGTCAGCTTAGTGTAGGATCACAGTCAGCAGGAAGAAATGAGATGGTAGGGTGAGGGAACATGAGAGAGTAACACTTGATTTTCGGTGTCCAATTACACGTTCATTTGGTACTGACTTTCAAAGCTCTGACTGCAGCCATCGTGTGGCCACAAGCGTCTCAGGGTGGCTCAGCTGCTGAGAGGCATTGGACACTGAAATGAAGGTTACCAACACTTCAGCCCTTGAGTGGTCTGTATTACAAAGGAGTTGATGAAGACCCAGGGAATATTCAAGTAGCTCTGCACAGTGGCTCCACCAGCCCCGTTGTGCTTGTGTCCAGGCCCCTAGCCAGCCACCTTTTCTTGGGAGCAGCCAGAGCTGATTTCAAGGCATTGCATGGTGAAGGTTTCCATGACGCGTCTTTGCAGGTAGCTCTTACCCCTAAGCCCTTTGTTCATTGTTAGTCATGGTAGATGGTCAGTCTGGAATTCCCAGAGGAAAAGGAGAAGTCACACCTTTCAACAAGCACAAGGCAGGGCAGTATGGCCCTCAGAGTAAAGGCGGCAGCAGACCGCTTCTTGAGAACTGGGCAGCCAGAGGGCAGCCAGGCAGGGTGGGTGGGGCTGCTGAGCACTGGGGGCTCAGCAGATGGGCACAGAGGCAGCACAGCCTGCCACCTGGGGAGCCTGTTCCATTGAGTGGCAAAGATTCAGTGAGCAACTGGTTTTGTCCAAGGCATTTCTGCAGTAGAAAAATAGCTATCTTTAATCAAACCACCCAACCATGATACTTGTGGAGTTATAAAAGTTGGAAGCTGAGTGGACTGGGAGACAGGAAGCTCCATGGGGAGAAAAGGCTCCTCTACATACCCATCCACCAGAGAAAGGGGGCTCAACCTAACCTCCCAAGCAGGTGGTGTTCAGAGTGTCTTGCTACAGGTGGCATGGATGCATGAAGACCCTCCAGGCCTTTGTTCCCTTCTTCCTGACCTCCAGTTTATGGGCCTGCCTGTTACACTGGCAGCAGCTCCACAAAGCCATTCTCTGTAACCAGGTAAGTATGCTGCAGAGCCACAGTGACACCTAGCGGTAGAGTACGGTGAAGCACACGTGACATCCACATATCCCACTGAGTATAACTAAACTCTAAGGAAAAATACTTATGGATATTAAATTAGATACTGGTTTAAATTTTTTCTATTGGGTATATCTCTGCAATATAAAAATATGAATATTTAGAGGGGAATCATAAAGTACTATACAATATAAGGGCTGAGAACACCTTTCTCTGAGTTGTTCTGTTTACAATTTAGGACCTGTTTAATAATCCAGGCTTAACTAAAATCAGCAAACTTGGATATCTGGACAACAACCTGGGATACTGTACACAATTCTAATTAGTGGAATTTTCCTGAGCCATCGAGTTTCAGCTAAACACCTAAGAAGGGCGCCTGGGAGAGGAACGAGGGGCTGTGCTCTATTAACTCGGGACTTCTAACAGTGCACGTCTGCAATCTGGACACAACAGCAGATACAAAATGATCTCCATTTGTCCATGCCGAATTCTCGTGTTACACAGGTTTTCCCTTTACTTTGTAAATAAACATTAATTTTAATTGTTACTTGTGTGCCTTACTGATCCAGTAAATATAAATGAACCATGTCTCAGGAGTCCCTAAGAAAATTGCTGGAAAGCACTTTAAAATCACTGCAAATATTTTCTTGTGTTTAAAAACTCAATCTTTCTGAGGCTTATATACAAGTTATTTCTTGTGCTATAAATGCTGTGATCACTGCTTGATTTCTTTCCTTGTTTTTTTTTTTTCTTGAAAAAACACACTAGAGCCAAGAGTGACTCTGCTAATTTCTAATGAAGACATTACTCACACTTAAATATCCAGTATTTATCAGAGTTACAAATCCGAACAGTAAAGTGCACCCATTTATAGACATGGTGTGATGGAAACCTATTAGTGCAAGAATTTTGGGC